ATCTTGAGAAAGACCATTTTCTCAGGAGAATCTGCCTCCACTGTGGCATATATGATTTTCTCTTGGAAATGAAAATACAAAGCAGTCCTTCTGATTTGTTTTTTGAGCTGATCTTCAAAAGCTCTTGTGCATACACAGATTTGGGTGGTGGATAATGTTCATCTTTTTATAGACAGAGAAATTGAAAATCAGAAAAAGAATGTAACTTTCCCAGGGCCATTGTGTCAGGATAGGCTGGATCCAAACACGAGCCTTCCAACTTTGAAGCCCGCTTCTCTGCACCTGCAGGGCTGCCAATCTTTAATTGCATTCGTCTCATTTTGATCCTCAAGATTGCTTACTTTCTAAAAGTGGTATGTGTTACCCATGTATGTGAGAATTGTTCAGCTCCAGGGTGTGGCTTATACTCTTTCCTGATAGAATGTGTACTAATAGTTAAGTTCTTTACATTCATTCCTACACGTTCACACTTGAGCAAGTCTTTATCACATCACTGAACATCACTGAAGAACATTCTCAAAGTATGGCAGGAATGAATGTGCAGAAGAAAGTGTAACGTTTACTTTGAAACAAAAAAGAGCAAAGGCAAGTTCAAGGTTACTATGATACCACATAATAGTCAATTAATACTGAAAGCTACAACTCTTGTTGCATAGGTCCTGCTTTACCTTGGTCTTAACCATCCAGCAGAAAAGTATAAAAACGAAATTTAAGAAGTAAAGCCATGAGGTTATGTTGTGCTGTAGGGGACTCAGGTCAACAATTTCTGACACTGCCAGTCAAGCGGAAGACCCAATACTATTATGGGCTACTGGACTCTTTTGGAATATTTTGCTGAGTTTGCACACCTATAATATTCAAATAATGGAACTTAACAAAAAAGGGGATACAGATGAATGTCCATTTGGTATCTGTGTATTCAAAGTGGTTAGGATAGATAGTTACATTCTCTTAATGAATAGAATGATTTGTTCTAATGGTGTTTGTAAATGGGATATCATGTCCACATCTTGTACAGCAATTAACCACTAGGAAGAATGTATGCAATGTGTTAATTAATGAAACTGTCCTACCAATTTGATTTGAAACTGTCTCATTGCTATTTGTTTCTCAATAAAATTATGGCAAAAAAATTTAAAAAATACTGAATCATCAGAATTCTCAGGAAAATGTATATAATCTCAGTTCAATTTACACGTAAGGAGTAAGACTTGGAATGTCATGGCATTCCCTCTAATGACAGGTATGTTAAATTTTTAAAAAGACTCATATACATTGTTGGAATCCTGTTACAGAGGCCTCTGCAAACAAAGCAAAATGAAACAACATTAAATCTCACACAGTGAGGCACCTGTTTGACCTGGTGACATGACATAGAAGACTTGCTACTCCTATATTTCTTACAATGGCCTCTGCTGATGCTTCAGTAGATGTATGACTTGCTGGTCTCCTGAGCTTCCTGGCCTAACAACTCCCTCGGAGGAGCATCCGGGTACAACTATGGGACTGACCACAGGACTTGCGGGAGACTCCTGTGTTGGTGCAGTTCAAGTGGCTGTAAAGTTTAAACCTGTGCTTTGCATGTCGTCCCCTTGCCTACACACACAGAGGGAGCCTCGGAAGGGGTTGCATGGTTGCCACCTATAAGAAGGCAAGTAGGTCTTGTGGGGGCAGAGTCACCTGCCTTCCCTCCAGCAGCCTCTGCCATTCGTCAGGGAACACATTCAGCAGAGCACAGCCTCAGCAAGTGGGCATCATGCACCACTTGGCAACTGCTGGCTGAGTGGTACTCCAGAGCCCTTCTCGCATCCTGCTGTGGTTCCTCCCTGGCTTCCCCTGGAACATTCCTTGCAAACCTGCTCTGCACAAGGTGCATCTAACTGACCCCATTACTTTTAGCAACTGAGCATGCCAGTACTTAATAGGCTTGTAAAGATGGGCCCGGCTGCTCCGCCTCATTACTCACTGTTGCAGGATGGTGCGGAATTCAGCACGCGCATTTTAGTCGCATCACACATGGAAGCTCAACCACCCTTTGACCTGGCTCATTTTCCCATCTTATGTGGTTTAGCATTCTTAGCTGTATCTTGCTTTGTTGCTTATGTTATTTAATTGGGCTACCATTTCCATTGTTGTCCTGTTCTGTATGCTCACGTGCAGAATTCTTTGCTGCGTGTTACTGGCCGGTCATAAGGTGTGCCATGTGAGAAATGTGGCTGCATCTGCTTTTAGGTAAGGACAGCTTTTCAGGAAGGGAAGTAAATATAAAACAGGATGTAAATGTTTTCCAGTGGGGAAACTCGATGGCTTCATGGTCTGCAGGCATGTGGAATGGTCCAGTGAGCTTGCTCCTGGGACCGTGTCCTCCTTGGACTCTGGGTGACCAGGGCAAAGTCTCCTGGATAAATGGCTCAACCAGGGCATGCTGTTCCCAGGCTATAGCTTGGAAGTGGCTTTCTGTGAAGAGATGGAAGGATGAAGAGCAGGAGGAAAATGGACTCTCACCATTTCTCCCTGATCACCAAAAAGTCAATTAAGTGGATCACGCCAATTCTGGGCACCTCAGGGGGTGGCTTTTCCAGACTGTGGCCTGATGGAAAACACTTTACAAATGCAAGTGCGATTCCTGAGTGTTCTGTTCAGAATAGTGAAAACAGCCACAAGCACTTGTAAACAAAACAATTGGGAGCAGGGATGTTGCCTGTAATGATTGTTTATGTTGGAAAGTTGGCTGCCACCGTGGTTAGACAAATGCTCCCACTTCCGTGGAGATAAAAGGCTAGCATTTGCAATCAGTGAGGAGAGTGTGTTCGTTCTGGGGCTAAATGGCATTATAAAACTTCCTAATTAAGCCTAGATGCCAATGAGGTTTTAGCATCGTTTCTCCAATTTAGCTTTACATACTGGGTGCCCTGTTTAGTACAGCATTAACTATAAACATTGTTGTTACTGCCCCCAGCTGGAAAACAGAGCAGTTTATGTGAGGAATAAGAAAGAGATTATCTCCCATCTGCTCCTGCCCATTACTCAAGGGTTTGTCATTTTGTCTGCTGATGGGAATCATCACTAGGATTTTCATTAAATGGTCTTTTATACTTGGGTTTCTTTATTAATTATGATGTGTACTTGGTACTTCTCGCTCACAAGTTTAGCGATTTAATTTCTAGAGGTATATTGTTTTGAATTCAATGCATTTATGTGTGCAATTTTTATTATAAAAATATGCACAAATGCAATCCGACACACTTGATGGCTATTTTTAATCATGTATCAACTTTACGTCTAGATGTCTGATTAATATGCCTGAGGATAGGAGATATACAATTAAAAAAGGAAGGCACATGGTATGATTCAATTTATATACAGTATGAAACCAGGCAAGGCTAATTAATGTGGAGAGACTCAGGGGTCAGTGTTTAACCCTGGAGGCAACTGATCTTCCAGGAGGTCTGGGAGGGGTTGTGGGGTGCTGGGAACGCTTTGTGCCTGTCTGGGGGCTGCCTCTGTGGGCACGAGTGGGTTGTGAAAGCGACCAAGACGTGTGTACATCCGGACATACAGTATCTTTCCGTAAAAAGGAAATGATGGATGGGTCATCTTCCGTATTAAAGAGTGAAGAGGCAGAGTGTGTATGAAGGCAAATTATAATTAATTTACCCTCCCTCCAAAAGGGATCATAAATTTTACAAAAGGTCTTTCTACATCTATAAAGTGAATTTATTTAGTTAAACCAAAGGGTGGATATGCAACTACTACCTGCACACCAATCTGAAAGATACAAATAGCCTTTTCTACAAAAATGACTTAAAACTATGTTGTTGAGTCTTTTGTTGTTGTTGTTTAAACGGATTTCAAAATTATTATGATTTTAGTGTACTTGATGATTTGTCAATCTCTTTCCTGAATCTTTTGTTTGGAATGTCTAATTAGAGAAAAATAATTAGGAGCAAACTGGGAGGCATCACGTTTATATTATACACATATGTCTATTATGTATATACACATGCGATTTTTTCTTCTTTGGTAAAAGTTGACAGTCTGATCCAGGAAACAATGTAGGCAGACAGCTTATTGCTGCCAATAGGCTCCAGCTTGTGGATTTTTTTTTTTTTTCCTGGCAAACACTAAGATGTGGAGCTGTACCTGGAGATCATTTCAGAGATGTTAAGACACTATGTTCATATCTCAAACCATCAAAAGCCATCCTGCTTGTGGATAACTTAAAAACACATATACAATGGCCCTCGCAGGAAGTGCCAGGGCCATCGATGAGAAGAGAAAACGCTGGGACAGGATTTTTAATCCAGTTAAGAAAAATCCTGTAGCCTTTTTGCTTGAGCAGATAAGCCAACTAAATAATCTGACAGTTAGAAAATATTTAAAAAGTAAATTCATGCAATAGCTAGTACATAGAGGGATTTTCAGGGGGAGAGAGGTAACAATAAAACAAAAACAAAACAAAAAGGTGGAGAATTGGAAAACACAAGCTTACCAACACACACAATGCATTCTATAGCCCACTGTGCTTCCAGGTGCTTCTACTACTAACGTGTAAATGCATTGTTTCATCCATCTAAGGTCAAGGTTGAGCTTGATGACTTTAAAATGACAGTATATACGTCTATAGAACATACACTGAGGTGCTGTTGTTCTTTCATTTATTGAGGGACCGAAGAGCACTGGAAATCATCATTTTAATTAGCAACATCAGGCAAATGCTTTGGCATTGGCACTAAATATACTGTCCTTTTAACCATAGGAAAATTGATACTGAGCATGTGCAATGGAAAGAAAGCTGGCAAATGTCAGTGTGAATAATGGGTGAAAAAAAGGAATGAGGGGGTGTGGCATCTCAATCAAGATTCAAATGAAACTGATAAAGCAGCATATGGACTGGATAACAAATCAAAAGCATGTTTATCCACTGAAGGAACTGGTTAATGGAGACTGCCAGCACGTTGCCATGGAAACACTGACTGTTGAACTGCACCATCTCATACCTTATCCAATACATTCCTGGTTGCTGGTAGTAGTCCAAAGACCCTGATCTCTTGATGGTAAACCCGTGGTCCAGCTGAGCAGAGAGAAATGGGGCAACTCAGTGGATCAACATTGAGCTAAAGGATTAAGACTCCAGACCAAGCTGTTCTCCATTAACTATAAAGGTACACATAGTGACGATGCCTCTTCCGTAGGGCACCTAGTTAATAGCATCAATCTGCATATCGGAAATAGAAAGGCAAGAAAAGACACTAATCCCTCATGAAAATCTTGGAGGCCAATTGGTTAGCATAGCTCAAATTTGTCAAACCAGCTCTTGAATGTACATTTAATAATGTCCTCTCAATTTCAGAAGGTACAAACACTGTTTCATATACTATCGAATGAAAAATGTTCTGTAATTAAAGTTCTGAAATCATTTGTAGCCACCTAAGAGAAAGCAGATTGGACCCCCTCCCCCAAATACTACCTCGTTAATTTTAAATCTGAGGGTTTCATAAATATATTTAAAAAATAAATAGAATTAGGCTTTAGAACCTCACAAATCACAGCCATTTGGGATTGTTTTCTTTAACAGTATATCTTTGAAAGCTGAGCTATCCTTAAAGATGAATCCTAATTACATTTCTGAACTAAAGAGATACGAGTCAGTAAAATTTCTCTAGGAGAATAACATTGAACAGAATATAATTTTCACTATATTAAATGCATATATAAGGTGCTTATAAATAATAAAAGGCACAATAAGTAAAAGACAGGTTAAATTTTCAGAGTTGTTCATCCTGGAATGAGCCGTTAGCTTGTGGCTACCTGGGAGTACAAGATCTAATCTCCATGCCGGGAGAAACAGTGATCACGTCCGCGCCCCCATTCTGCCCGTGGTGCAACGCAACCTGAGCGCTTTTCTTTAGTGAGCGACTGATGAGCTCTTTCAAGTGCTCTGCTGGTGTGATGCTGTTGACAGTTGCTACTTCTAAATTCACAAAGACATTTCAAAAACATGCCCCAGCATCAAGCATTTAAACTAAAAACTGCTCGGAGGACTTGGTGTTCTGATTAGAAACCAGGCTATCCCATTGTTCATGGAGAACAGCATGAGATTTTAATTTTTTTAAATGTATATTTTGTTTTATGTTTAAAAAAATTTTGAAGTACACTTTTTCTTAGGAAGACAGTGTGTAATACAGGTTTAGGCCCTAAGAATGTCTACCTAGTAACTGGTTCTCTACTGCCATCTACAGGCGAAGTCTCATACGACAGGCCACAAGGTCATTTCAGAAATGAGCTTCCCAGTATCACAATTATATGCACACTGATTAGTATGGATTTGTTCAATTAGACTGAAATGCTCTATTTGCAGAAGCAAAATGCAAAAGAAGAGCTTTGAAGCATTAGGAAAATTAACGGTTAAAATAATAAACAGCATTAAATGGAGAAAAATAAATTGGAACTGACATCTTAGTCATCGGTTCTTCATCAAGCTGAGCAAATCTAATAATGCCTCCCTCTCCTCCCTCAGCTCTCAAAAAGTCCACCGTTAAAATGCCATCTCTAATTCCATTTTATGTCTATAAATTGCATTTTAATAACCTTTTGTTTCCCTTTCTCGTGTGTGTGTGTGTGTGTGTGTGTGTGTGTGTGTGAAACCTCCCAACTGCACACTGGGAAAGGTAACAGAGGAACAATGGAATTTTTCTAAGGCACAGAATGTTGCCATTGTACTGACAGCAGCTAGTCTCTGTACCATCCCATTGCTTGACCCAGTGTCAGGACGCCTTTCCTTCTTTCAGGAGGCCTGATGATGCCGAGGAAGCTTCGGCTAGTAATTACTCTCCTTGCCAACTCCAGGCCTTCGTGCAACCTTCCTATGGAGGTATTATCTGCCTATTTTTTGGTCTTAATGATGTTTCCCTGGGAAACTGAGAAGAAAAAAATGACAAGATGAACAAAACCACTATGGTTCAGACTACCAGTACACGTTAAACTACACTCGTGTCATAATTATACCGTGAGTAGAGTTTGTTTGTTGTGACAATGTGCTCTTATTCCTTTTGTCATTCTAAGGAAGGTGTCATCAATTCATTTATAAGCATGATTGACCTCTAGCAGGTAGTTAGATTTCTAACTAAGGAAAGAGAAGTGTCCGGTAAAGATTTATGATTTATTGTTGACTTCCTATGACAATAAAAACAAACTGATACTAAAATATACATTTTTTAAAATTTTAAAGTATGAATAGGATTTCCAAAATCAGTCCTGAGATATAGAAAGTTTAAAATAAAATAAATTATTGTATAGCCTTTAGAGAGAGAATATTTACCCAGGAAAAACTGTGAGAATAAAATTTATGTTGAAGGAAACTTGTGTACATCTATCAAATAGATGTCAATGGTGTATTCAGTCTATCATAGAAGTTTTTATGATGTGACAAATCAATAATTATACTTCATTAGTAGTAGTTTTTCTAGAATATTCTATTTATAATTTTCTATTTACTTATATTCTGCCTCACAATAAAATGCTCTTATTTGGCAGTCATACTTGAGGTTGAAGTGCATATTATTTAATGCCAGGACTCCCTTTTTCTCCATTTAGACCCCTGATACTTGGTCTTTGCAACTTTAAAAATGGAAAAAAAAATGTACAGACTTATCCATTGCTATTCTAGTTTCTAATTTGCAGCTCACCCTGGGACTCCTGACTTCCCAGGGTGACTTGGGAGGTCTGAGGAGACTTCTCTGTGGGAAAGGATCTTGGAAAAGGTGTCCACAGGCATGTAGTGTGGTAGATAGTTTTCTCTTGAAATAGCCTCTAAAATTTACACTTTCTCTTTCATCCTGGAAATACTAATGGTGGTAACTAACATGTGATTGTGCTGCAAGAGCTGACAAGGTACCCTTTAAGATGTTTTTCCTAAACCAGCCAGTTCATTTGAGTATGAGTTAATAATGTAAAAAAAGCATTCTAGGGTGAAAACATCGAGCAAGCATGTCATGAATGTGTAACAGCATTATACAGGCTGCTTCACAATTTATGTAGAATCACTTTGTGACGTTTTCATGGAAAACGTGTTGGTGATGGACTGAGAAATCTGCATTAAAAATTGCATTTAAAATGATCCAATCATGATATTTAGAAAAAAAAAAGTCTGTGGGCCTTTGAACTCCACATACTAACTGGAGTGTTCTGAGATACATTTAGATGAAGGTTCCATAAACTCATGAGAATTAGGTTTCAGAACTTATTCACACTTGATTAAAATAGGACTTCTCTCCAAGATCTGTTATCTGTAAATTGGAAAACTGCCCTGAAGTTTCTGCCCTTAGTCATTATAGGCCTCCCAGGATACTGTGAGCAAATCATTGCCGAGCAACCAAGGCAAATGTAACCAAAGACTAATTAAAAGAAAAGATCAGTTAAAAAGAAAACAAAAAGAAAATGACAAGATGGAAAAGGCACTCTCGTTAGCAGCGGTAAGGCCCTGAGCAGGAGCAGAAAAGCAGTCCTTTTCATGGACAAGCGTGCTGGCAGCCCATTCCAAAAGAAAACTGCACAACTGGAATCAAGCGTTTTGGAATAGACTTGTATCTTGGATGAACAATGAAAACAGAGCATACAAGGTCTGATTTAGTTGAGCATCATGGTGAGGTTGTTACTTGCAAAAATTACTGACTGAATATCAGCTGATAAAGAACACTGACCATCTGGAAAGAACTAAAGAGAGGACGAGAAGAGCAATTCAAAATTTTAAAACTTCAGCACCTCTGAGGAACGTCCAAAAGAGTATGCATTCTAGTTAGCACTGGTTGTTTACCCATGTGCCAGTTACCCATTCACAGAGAATTCACTATTGGAAAGTCTCAATTGAGAACACTGAAATGCAAACAGCACACAGTGTGTATGCATGTGTTAACACCATTCTCAAATTCTAGAAGCCCATATCAGATATGGAGTGACCCAGATCTGGGACTGGTTGCATCTAGTAGGTCATTTATTTTAGTTTTATTTGGAGTGCTACCAAAGCCCAAAAGAAAAGAAAAGAGATGGAGGGAGGGAGGGAGAAAGAGACAGAGACAGAGAGAGAAAGAGAGAGAGAGAGAGAGAGAGAGAGAGAGAGAGAGAGAGAGAGAAAGAGATAATAGAAATACCCATAGAAGGAATTAAATATTCAGTACTGCCTTGGAGCACGAAGGAATGTTGAATAGCATAAATAATTTCTAAAAGTTTGACATCATAATGCCTTAAGTTCATTGTTCATTAAAAAAACAGCTGAAGTGATTTTCACATTGAGCATGCTGTTAACATTCACATACTCTGGAAAAAGAGGAAATTATTAAAAACTCAAGTAATCTAGGACTTAAATATATTTACCCTAGAATATGATACCAGGAAGTATGAGGTTTCATTATTTCTTGGTCCAATTTAATCTTTGCCTAGAGCAGCTATCAAGTTGCATGTAATGTATGTCTACGCACATAGAACAGAACAGAAAAAAAGGAAGACAGAAGAAAGAGAAAGAAAGAAAGAAAGAAAGAAAGAACGAAAGAAAGAAAGAAAGAAAGAAATTTTGCACAGCCATATCAATAAAATGGAGAATATTAAAGGGCTTTCTGCCTTAACAACAGAAATTTATAAGGAGCAAAACACTGTGACTTCATTGGGTGTTCACTGCAATTCAGTCTCACTGAAAATCTTATGGCATAAGCTTTCTGAGAGGTTTTGGCTTTAGTCTAGGTCTAGTGTAAAGATTAGTAGTGTTTTAGTCTCTTTGCTGTATTGTCTCTCTGTTGGCTTCCCTTTCCTTCTAGGTCTTGGCAAAAGGACAGTGTAAACTCTTTTCTGAGGATCCAAAATGTTTGTATTGGCACAGAATCCAGTGTGGGGGAGGTTTGGCCTTAAAAAAAAAATCATGAAACTAATATATACTGCAAGGTACCCTGGAGGTGTTGGATAATGATTTGACACCCAGGGAAATGATCTGTAAAAACACACTCACATATATGAGCCCCACACTGCCTCTTGCGCATTAAGCGGTAGAGCTGTCTAAAGAAATGACCCATTCTGCTGTCTCTG